CTTTGATGGCCGTCCGCTGGCAGGTCTTCGAGTAGAGGACCACAGAGTATATCGGGCACATCAGCTGTTGTTGGTAGATGCCCGAGGCGCTCAGAGAGGTCGGTTCGTAGACCATTCCAGTTCTCGCAGTGGAACAAGGTGTGTTCTGCTGTATCCGAGGGACACTGGCAGTGGACACACCTTGGGCTTGCGGCCCTAGCGAAGCGATGGAAGTAGAACTGGAAACAGCCGTGTCCAGTGAGCGCCTGTGTCATGTGGTAGGACTACTGGAGTCGTMCTGTTATACCACCTAACCAGATCGGGGATGAGGCGGCGAGTCCAGGCGGCCTTGCTTGAACTGGACCACCTCGTCTGCCATTCTACGATGGTAGCCTYCCTTTTTTCATTTTTGATCCTATTTCTGGAGACAGGTGGCTCTCCTGGGATCGGTGCGTCGTTGAACCTTCTCATGATCCTCGTCCTCTCCTGAGCGATAAGGTCAGCTGGCGGCATGTTCGCCAATAGGAAGGCGGCTTCGTCCGAGACCGTCCTGTAGGCTCTGATAGCCCTCAGGGCGGCCACCGTCTGCGGTCTCCTAAGATTTCTGATGGATTTAGCAGTGCTGCAGACGGGAGCTACCCACACCGGGGCGGCATAGAGCAGCTGGCTCTCGACTACAGATCCTAGGAGTCTTCTCTTCCATTGACCAGGCCCGTTGATGTTGGGCATGATCCTGGAAAGAGCTGCCGCCGATGTGGCCGCTTTTTTGGCGACCGTTTCGACGTGTTTCACAAAGGAGAGACGGGTGTCAAGGATGACTCCTAGGTACCGAAGGTGCTTCTTTAGGTCGATCGGCTGACCTACAATGCTGAGGTGGGGAGGGTTGTAGGCCCATATCTTCGTCAGCATTTCAGCCTCTGTCTTTTGGTGAGCCAGCTGTAGTCCATGCCTCACCATCCAATCGTCGATTTGGTCCAGTACGGGATTCACTAGATCCCCAAGTTGCTCACCTGTCCTAGCCAATCCCACAACCGCGAGGTCATCAGCGAAGCCGATCATCTGGACACCCGGAGGGGACCTCCATGGTGAGCAGGTCGTCATAAACAATGTTCCAAAGGGTAGGTCMTAGGACCGATCCCTGAGGAACGCCACACGTCACAGTTCTTGCCACCCTGTTGTCTCCTGCCAGTAACTCTCTGTCCAAAAGCCAGGAACGAATCATACGCACCAGGTACTCAGGAGTATCCTACTACCTATAATATATTATTATTACCATGATTTATTTTATATTACAATTTTGATGTGCTTAGTGTACCATCTAGTTGTAAACAAAAAATATATAAACAAGTGTTTGATTTAATATTAAACCACTAGAGTGCAGCAGAACGCTAGATCCRGATTTTTAGTGTGATATCGACCACAGTTTTTTGTATGGATAATTCAATTAACAATTGAACTACACAGTCGATTAATTGATTCTGAGAAATCTTCGAGAGTTGCAATAATAGCCTTGAATTTTTCAAATATTACAAACAGCGACCGATGATGTGAAGTTCAGCGAGTGGTAGGATATGTTTTCATTCTCAACGGTCTTTTGTCATAAAAACCGTAAATTTAATAACTATTATCATTTGAATTYTCAAGAGCAGATGAAGCAAAATATTGTAAATATACTGACTAATTATCAACTAGTATACTGTCAAACACTGCAGATAATCTTTGTATTATGTAGACAATAACATACTTATAAACTAATAATACCAATTTCAAAACAATTATAAGATATTATGTAAAAATTATATTTTTGAATTCCTCTCACTGTGAAATAGTTGTGAAATAATGTGCTTCTCCCGTTCCTACGCCGTGAGAACTTCGTTGCATAGACAATAGGCGTTGTTACGGCCAGCTGTGAAAGCGATGGTACTGTACATGTCATCTTTGGAGCGTTGTTTACGTTCCACTTATACTATTGTACTCTTAAAAATTGTTTATTTAATTGAAAGAAAAATATTTAGAAGAATAAGAAACCTAGAATGTATAGTTATTACGTATTACCTATTTTATAAGTAGTCAGAGAGAGTATCATACTTTTATTATCAATTATATATGAGATATATAAAATATTCACTCATAAGTCAACAAATATAATAATTTAATTTAATTGCATAATATGCATGTATCATAATTTTTATTACATCGTAATATTATTAAAAATTCACAAAACTAAATGTTGAAATAAATTTCAATACATTTTGCTAATTATAATAAAAAAGAGAGAATTTTTTATGATTTTAACAATCGTTATTTTAATAAGCAATTCACTGAATAGACACAAGTACCTTATATGCTATATTTTGTTTAGGTTGGCCAGTCATAAGCTTTGGGGACTCTAAATTGTCAAATATAATATAGTATTGATAATATGAATAGCCAATGAGAAGTTAAGAATGAAACAATTTTCCGGGTCTGAAGAAGGCGATAAAAATAATACATCAAAATTAAGTCCCATATAATTGTATTTTATACCTGGCCACTCTAAATACATTATGTTATATATTTTACAGCGGTTCTTGAACTGTGATCAACAGCCCCTGTGTTCCATAATTTCTAAAAATCTACCATCAAGGGTCCGTGTTCACCAATAGTTAAAGAACCATTGATATATGTATTATATTGTTCAAATGTAGAACATAGGAGTGTTTTCAATGAGCTTGGAGTTCAATTGGTTTTTGACTTGCTCCTCATCTAATCGATTTATATTTATTGTTTTGCTGTAAAAATCAAAAACAATAATATTACATTTTATGATAAATATCTATAATCTAATGTTAACTAACTTTTCGAGATAGGAACGAATTCTGAATGCAGCCAAGTGAGCGTAATATGTCGGTGCAGGATATGATACAGAACGGCTGCAACGAGCAGACATAAAACACAAGTAAAATGTGAGTTGTTCAATCTCGTTTTCTTCGAAATAGCTGTCATCCCAAATCACATGATATTTAGTCGGTCTTGATGTACCCTTCAAAGGCAAATAAATTTATTCAACAAAATTAAATAATTAATAGATCTAAACTACAAATAGAAAACTTACTTTAACTGCTGAGTGACTACATAATAAAAAATTAAGTTCTGTAGGATGAGTAATGTGAGTATCAATAACCATGCCTGGGCAGACATTACCAGACATCCCATTCATATCGATATGATGAATAGGGAAGATTCTAGCGTGATGTCGTTTTTGTATGACAAGAATTGTTATTGGAGGTGTGTAGAAACAATTCAATCGTAAACATGCTCGACGGATGGCCACCAGTTCACATTCCACCAAATGTTCCCTAAGCACTTCACTTACACCATCCCTAAAGTATAATATCTTCTTCGGTATAACATTTGTCTTTTCTTTGAAATTATTTAAAAGCTTATAAATTATGTTCTCTAGATCTAGAATGATCTCCTCAAAAGGTGGCTGAAAACGCCATTCCATAGCATACTGACTTAAGTTGAGATCATAGCTGGCTGTTACCTAAATCATGAAAAAAAAATTTTATTTTACTCATATATGATACCAATTTTTGCAAATTTATTTATTTTTATATGGCATTRCAATAAAATACATGATTAATATACAAGGAAATACTGAATAGTAACTTCTATTAACTGTAGCTAAAATGATTTAATTTTAAAATAAAGTTATTTTACTAGTCAAAGGTTATAACTCAACAAAACAGGTTTCAAAAATTTCCATCAATAAAATAGTGTACACACATATAATTTTTATTTTTATAGAAAAGTTACAAAAAATTAGGTCAGCATTTTGGTGGTGGATGTTTGTCCATCGTCCCTTTGGTCCTTGGACAGTATAGTGTAATTTTACTGCATTCGATTTGAATGCAATGATTACATTCRWTGAAAAACAAAAATACTGAGCGGACGAGGGAATCTTTTTGTTTAATTTTATTCGTTTCTATGGTGATAATCGTCCGTAATTATTTAATATTATAAAATCATGAAATCGTACTTTTTTCTCCTTTAACCCTTTTATTTCGAGTACTGTTTTGAAAATYGAAAAATGACCTCTCTAAAGTACCAGCTTAAGAACATTACCTTTCAGAAACGATACTACACTTGATACTTTTGAGCAAATTTAGAGGGAGAAAAAGTGTTKACAGAATAAAAAAGAAAAAGAAATAAACATCATAGTAAAAACTATCCTCGCTCCACTCAGAATCTAATATCTGCAGAAATTGTTTTATTTAAAAACGCCTAGATAATAAGAATTCTAATATTTTCATATTTATCTCTGAACATTATTATATTGAAAACATAAGACCTAAAAATGTAAAATATCAAAACATAATATTTACATATAATAATGAAACAAGATGATGGCAGTTAGAAAACATCCACAACCCACACTTGTCTCACAAACGTTCAACATAGCAAAGTCAAACCAAAATTATGGTTGTCAACTTGAATAATATTAAAATAAATGAATCTACCATTAAACTTAAACATTATCTGTGTTTGGACACATATATTTTTATGATATTTCAATTTATAAGCGAATTATGAGTATGTAAAATATTGTAATAAATAAATGCACATAATTATAATAGATTTATCACATAAATTAAAATATTGTAAAAAATCAATCTGCAAACACATTGTTTTAGTTTAAACTTTTGATTTGATTAATTTAAGAAAATACTTGAATATTAAAGTTAATAACACTAAGTTGATTTTGCTGAATGCAAAGTTTCTATGTTTAAATTAACTGTACATGCGGCATCTCCTAAATGAAAATTAATGGTTGCTGGATTGTTTTTTCACAGTTAATGCCTATGAAAAATGAATTGTGAATTATTAAATTTGAAAAGTATGAAGTATATATTTACATTTCTAATGTAACAAAATTTGAACTTAAAATCAATTTATGTGTATTGTATTTACTGTATTTTAAATAATTTACATTCGAAATATATTTTCAAAATAACTTATTCAATTTTTAAAAGCAATAATATATATACACACAGTACGAGAAAATCCGCTTAATTGGGGACACATTGGGCGCTGACCGAATAATTTTTTTTTGCAGTTTGATCATGCATATGGAAAATAAGACAAGTATTATTGTTCTATTTACACAATAATACATTAATTTATAATTTATATAATAATTATAAATTTAATTATTTCAAAAACCTTTCTTATCTTCATGGTACGATATTATAACATATTGTATGACATAAAGTTAACATATAAAATATATTAGGGCCATTGCGATTAAATAAATACAGTTTTGATAAGAAAACAGGTTTTAACAGATTTCACTTATAAAAAAAGTTCAATTGCCTAAAATGAATACATTTGTTCGGGGCTCTGCCAATTTGTCTCTATAAAACGGTTGTTCCTTTTATATGGTGTCCCCATTAAGCAGATTCCACTATATATAATTAACTAATGCTTAATCTTACAAGAAAAATATAATTTCAACATAATWTATATAAATAATTTGAAATGTATTATTTTCTGTATATAATTTTAAGATTTTTAAATAATATGCAATAACAGATAATTTCATGTCACTATTCTAGTTTTCGAGTCTAAACTAACGTAATATTTTAGTATACTCACTGCAGCAATTGATGGAGCACTGTTATTTATAGACCCAATATGTGATATATCAGCTCCAAAAATAATTGCATCTTTCATACACGATGGACTAAATAATAAATATTGAAAGTTCAAAATAAATAAATATAACAGTTAAKATAATATAATGGTTTACATATTTATTTATAATTATTATTGGTCAATAATTTATTTAAGTATACCAAATCAGTATATAACAGTTCCTATAAACAATATCTAGGTATAAAATTAATCTGTATTAATTGTTCTTAGTTAAAATTATTTAAAAAAAATATTATATTACTGAGATAATAGTAAAATAGACACTACAGACATATTAGTATTTGAATAAATAAGGAGAAGCGCCTAATATAACCTTAAAATTATACATAACACATAAGTATATCACAGATGCAGAAATTTTATTTTAAGATTAATTTTGTATTAATTTTTAAGATGTTTTATTTTTTATTGAAAGATACTTATCAGAAATAGCATAATCATTGAATATTAAATCATGTATAATATATCATTTCATTATGTCTATTATATATGAATTTAGGACACAAAAAAATCTAATATTTCTGATCTGATTAGTTATTTTTTTTTTTGCACTTTCATAACAAAACATTATTTTATCCTTTATCCAGAAGAGCAAGACTCATAAATTWATTAAAACCTATATTCTTACCGACATCTTTCAGCTATCAAGTGATTGATACCATTCAATTTAGAATTAATTTTCAATATGAAATTATTTATTGCTAATAAATTCATATTAC